AGCCGCAATTATTTTAATCGCGGCTTCATTTCCCTCTTCCGATCTGGCTAATCTACATGCCTCCGTCGACGGAGGCATGGAGTCTGGACACAGCCCTAGAGAGAAAAACAAAGAGTACAGGTAATATCAACAGAAATGTATAGAGAGGTGAGGCTGGGATGCCCACAAGTTCACAGCACAGTGTTTTTAAAGGGATCTCTCTGCATTCAGGGTCTGCTTCATTATTGTATATTCTGATTCTGCTTGAAACTATCACCCATGGTCCAACCTTGAAAAACTGAAGTCTTTGAAGTATGAGGAATAAACACTGATGAAACAAATGGGAGATGCTGGAAAAGCCAAACATCTTTTTCCATCCCTAACATCTATGGAGAACAAAGCTGATAACTCTGATATGTGGGTATATTCCTCCATATCACCCTCCAGATAGGTGAATCCCTTCCTTTCTCAAGGCCAGTAGAGCATATTGGAAGTCTTTGGACTTTCTGCACATTCTCTAATTTTTGTACAATCTCCTTGGCCCCAAACATCTCTCTCTGTTGCCTCATTATTTATTTTCCAACAGGCTAAATCTTTGAGAAATTTCACCTATTCTCCAAACAGAACCCACGAAGTAAAATTTGAGGTTTAAAAAAAAAAAAATCCCAGTGGAAGAAATCAAAATACGTCGCTGTGAACTGAACATCTTTCTACCAATCACACGGCTGCATTTTAGTTTTAACCTCTCCGTTAAACAGGAAATACAAGGGAGGGGATCATGTATTGGTGGGGATAGGTCTGGAAAGATGGTTTTTTTTCCCCTTCGCCCTGACTGACTCCGGCACTGTCACATGATGCAATCTATCCCCTGGGCTGAAACGGGTTGAAATGACAAATCCGGGATGGACTCCCCCCTCTCCCCTCACACACACACAGTCCCAGATGGGGGGTGGGTCAATGAAACCCACTGCCGTGCAAAGCAGCCGCCGCTCTGAGCTGGGGCAGCCCGTCAGACAGGCTGGGGCCGTGCGCCGCACATCTGAGTCACAAGGATCACAACCAGATGGCAGCCTCTGTGAGGAGCTCGACCCAGATTTGTGCTATTTCAACCCCTACGCAAGGGTTGCATCATGTAACAGCGCCGGAGTCAAGAGAAAAGCGGGGAGGGAAAGCCCAGGGTCCGGGATCTTGCAAGGGGGAACCAGTAACAGATGAACCGCGGCCGCCTGATGCTCTAGCTCCAGCTCAGCGTTTCCCATGTGCTTCCCCCGGCCAACCCAGGGAGAGACTTTTCGTCTCGGCGCTGGGCGCCTTCCAAAACCCTTCCCGCCCGGGCTGCGTACAGGGGCTGCCTGGAGGAGCAGCGCGAGCCGCTTGCTGGTGGCAGAGCCCCGGGGCTGAGCCCAGCGGCTCCTGGGGCGGCGGCGGGGGAGGGTTGCAAGCAGCGAGCCGGGAGAGGGGCAGAGGACCGGGCGAGCGCTGCAGCCGCAGAGACTCTTCCTACCTCGAGCCGTGTCCTGCCGCAGTTCTCCGCAGCGAGCCGGGCGCCTGCCTAGAGCCTCGGAGCAACAATGGGGAGCGGACGGGGAGCAGCTTGGCTCCAGGACCGGGGAAGGGGTGGGGGAGAGGAGGAGGAGGCAGCTGCAGCGAGCGAGCCCCACACGCTCGGGGAGTATCATTCACACGTGCCAGAGCCGGCCCAGACGGACGGCTCCGCTGACCAATGAGCCGGCCGCGCGGAGGGGAGGGAGGCGGAGCCAGGCAGAACAAAGGAGGGAGGGGGGCGCAGCCCCGGTTCTCGGCCCGGGGCAGGTGGTGGGGACCGCGCGCTGCTCCCTGAAAGGGCAAAGCGGCGTCGGGCGCTGCAGCGCCCTATGGACACATCTCCGTGGGACAGGGTGGCCCAGGGAAGCTGCTGGAGCACTTGGGGAGGGGGCTTGCAGGAGGAAAGGGCAGGGCCATTCGTGCGGGGGGGGCTGTAAGAGGGAACCAGAGCCACCCAGGACACTAAGGAGTTGCAAGAGGGGAGGCGCGGGGGACCACGGAGTGTGTGTGGAGGGGAGGGGGGTTGTCACGAGAGCCCAGCACCAGATTTCAGAAGGGATGAGGGCGAAGGAGGGAGCAGCTCTTGGCGCCCAGGAAGGATCAGGTGAGCTGTAAGACATGAAGGGATTGGGGGTTTTCTTGGGGACAGAGGGGCATAGGACGGAGCAGGCTACTGGCCGCTATGGATTCTGCCTGGGAACAAGCAAGTGCTGGGAGGGGGGGTTTACCCTGAGGGGCAGTAGCCTCCTGGTGGGGAAATGAGGGGTTGAGGTGGGAGCTGCAAGCCTGGTCCTCGTGGAGTCGAAGATGGAGAGAGGGATGTGAAGGGATGCTATCTCCTCCAGGGCTCTGATGCTTATTAAATGACACCTCTACCTGTTTCATTGTGTCCTGAGTCCTATACCAAATCAATACAGGATGTTCATTACCTGGTATTTCAGCATCAATTTCTCAGGCAATGCAGATGACTGGCATCCCTGACACATGAACTTTGTGCTGCAATACTTATAGCACACAGGTCAATGACCTCTTATTTTACCAGTTATTCTAAAGGCCAGGGTAATCCCTACAGTCCATCTCTTAGTCCCAAACTGTCCTTGCATAAAGCCTGCACATAAGGAGCAAGGGCACCCAGACACAAAGGTCCTGCTGCTCAAATCAACAGGAGCCCACCTCCTCCAGACCTCTTCTCTAGCAGGACAGCATTTGCCCTGTTCCTGCTCTGGTTTGTGTTCAACTGGGATAAAGCAATCTAGCAATCTGAGTCTGGCTATATGGAAAGCTGTATTTGTTTAAACAAACCTTTGATTTTAAAACCAGTTTGGTTAAAATGGTGCACCATCTTGTGTGGATACTGTTAAACCAGTTTAAGCATGGCTTGTTTTTGCTTCATGCAGAACAAATTAGAAAAGCATCTGTCAGCAGGGGTGCTGGAACAATTGAATAGTGGAGTTGAATTACTCTGTAAACCACATATATAATGGAAACCACTTCAGGCAGGGGTGCAGTAGCACCCTTGGGTTCAGCACCTATGCCTGTCGGGGGTGATGTAGATTTATTTGGTCATGTGTCAGTGCAGGAGGCTGAGCTAGATGACCTCTCAACGTCCCTTCCAGCCCTACATTTCTGTAATACAAACCAGATTTAAATAAGATTAATGATTTATGTAACAATGAGTCAATATAATTTAAACCAGGTTTAAATCAAATGAAAATTGTCCATAGAGAGTTTGGGGCTGATGTAGCTACTTTGGTTTTTAAAACATACTTGTAGTTAAAGTGGTGCAAATTGGAATATAGACAAGGCAATAGAGAGGCACTGGTTACTTGTTCAGTTTGAATGCTATTGATTTAAAACGAACATTAATTTGCACAAAGACTTATACTTTACACATCTTTGCTGAGGTACTAGTTAAATGACAAGTTTTTTGGGACAGAGGCTTGTGTTTGTACAGCACTTTACACAATAGGGACTCGGTTCATGTCCCTGTTGCTACTGAATACAAGTCAAGAATAATAGAGAAGGGCAGAAGTCTTTGCCATCTTGCCTATGCCAAGATGGGAGGTGAGATGACAAGATCTACAGCCTCTTCATGGAGATAAGCATGAGGGTGTGGAAGTGGGAAACATCCTTTATGAAGACAAACTTAGTCACAAATTCCTTTTAGTAACATGCCCTGCTTAAAGTTGAGGGGATTCCAAAAGATTTTGTTGCTGCTGTTGTTGCAGGTTTGGTTTAAAAAAACAAATATATGGTTTAAAATATATTTCCAGAAAAAGGAGTTTGCTGATTACTAACTTTTAAGCATTGTTTTCTCATGGCTGAATATTATTATGCATAATTTATGCAGCTCAGTTTCGTAATCAGCATTTGTGGATGTTAACTCTTTGCTTTTAATTTTTATTTGCTTACTACAAAAGTGGAACATGTCATCCTTAGACAAGTCATGTTGATTTCTGATTCCATACTTGTAACATTATTTATTTATCCTTTTCACACACTATGACAGCTGATAACATGGGAGGGCTCTATTGTTTCTGTATCTCATGAAAAATAAAATTGTTTGTGTCTAGGGGCCATCAATTCCTTCAGTCAAATATGTAATCCATTATGATAACCCATTGCTGACAAAAAATATTGCTGGGGTCTTCCAAAGCAGTATTTGACAGTTTTACATTTTATGATGTGATTGGGGGTGAGGACAGTCCAGTGTAGTAGCTACAACACAGAATCATGCACCCAAATGGGGCAAGGTGGCTGATTATGCTCTCCACACCACAAGTAAGCTGTGAGGAGACAGAGGGACAGTCGGGCAGAAGCAAGAACATCTGAACATTAGATCCATGAGTGTGCAGCCAGTTCCCATGGAGATTCACAGCTGGGCTTAGTCATGAGGCAAATCTAAGTTGGCCTGGCAAGAGGGGCATGCTATGGGACTAGCTGATCCCTCTCTTACGCTCTTCATACTCCTGTATGTAAAACCAATTTGGATAGGTAGACGTCATAGATTAAAGAAAAATTCTGAGTCTTTCTCTGGAGGTAAATGTAGCTGGTTCAAAATGCTTCTGAGAAGGGCATTATGGGGTGTTGCCAGGCCTTCTCACATTGACAAGGCTAAAAAGTGCATGATGCACCTGGGGTTGGTAATCAAACACACACACACACACACACACTCTCACCCTAATTAATTATTTAATATGAGATTAAGGGGCCTAGCAGAGCACAACATAGATGAAAACATCAAAGAAATAACACCCAGGTGGGTTAGATATGTGCACCATAAGGAAGATGGAAGACATGCTAAACAAGCATTGAAATGGGTACCTGAGGAAGAAAAGAAAAAGTGAGGAAGGCCAAGGAAGACCCAGCAGAAAACCTTAAGAAAGGATATTAAATGTACTGGCATCACATAGAAAGAAGTACCACAAATAGCAAGCAACCATATTCTGTGGAGGATTAATTCATTAAATTTTACTTACATCTTACCTGTGCTGCTGACACATTGAGTAGGCTAATTCCTCCAGTGCTAGCGCCAGTGACTGATAGGACAACAGCCAGGCTTTAAACACATATCTGGGATAGAATAATCCAAGTATATGGACCAACACACCCTTCCCTGTGGGAAGGGAGCACTGCAATTGACAGTGGCTGCTAGGCCATGCTGCCCTGCAAAGCAGGGTTATTGACTCTGACGATTGGGCCACACTCTCCTAAGACAGGGGGGGCTTTGTTACTGACTGAAGCACCCTGGGATGAGGCATAGATACAGTTCGGAGGGGAGGCATAGCACCCCCTTTGCCCAAATTGGTACATACACAGGATTGAGCACCCGCCTAGGGGCCTTAGAGGCCCACTGCCCCACCTCCACAAGGGGATGGGGCATGCTCGCCCTGCAACAGTGTCCAACAAAAGCATGACACAGTCTCCACTGGCATGAACTCTTCTGCCTCCCACAGTCTCAGTTGTCCTATATCAATGCAGGTCATTCGAGTCCATCCCCACCTCTTCACTGACAAAAAGAAACGTTGTTAGGCACTGGAGTTATGGCAGTATTGGGGGGATGCTCTCACATGTTGCAATAGAATCCCCAGTCAACTTCTGATCCTCCCTTAGGTCAGTATCATGAAATTGTTCACTCACTATTGGGGAAAATCCTTTGGTTGTTTCTGCAGAATCGACTCTGATCCAGTGTAACATCACTTCCAATGATTACATCCTAAGGCCTCCCAGTTTCTACAACTTGGGGTGCTCTCCCTTTCTGTGACTCAGCCCTATGGTTTGGTCACTCTGTAGTTCCCCCCTTCTAGGGTAAAAAGTCCCTCTGGAACAGCTGTCTGGTTGGCATCTCCCATAATTGTATGCAACTTTCCTGTGGCTGGAAGGGGGAATTGGGACTGTCTTCTGCTTTGGGTTCAAGCATAGGGACCCTATAATCAGGGGCCAAAATCTGGACCATTTCTAATCTTGCTATTCTTTCTTTGAGCTCTTTACTTTATTCCTGTGCCTCTCATAGGCTTTCTTCTTTACCTTCTGGGTAACCCTTCCCTTGGGGCCAGGATCCCATGGCTTCTCTCTCTGCTTGGGTTTCTTCTTTTCCCCTCTCTAAGCCTAGAGAGTGACTGACAGCTTCGACACTGTAGCCCATTTCTCCTGCAAACTTGCTGACTTTATATCCTAGTTAGCTTTGCCCCAGATGGGATTTATCTGTTGTTAGTCATTTTGGGTACGTCTAAACTACATGGCTCCGTCGACGGAGCCATGTAGATTTGTTGTTTTGGCAAAGTCAAATGAAGCCGCGATTTAAATGATCGCAGCTTCATTTAAATTTACATGGCTGCCGCGCTGAGCCGACAAACAGCTGATCAGCTGTTTGTCCGCTCAGCGCGCTAGTCTGGATGCTCCCCTGCCGACATCAAAGCCCTTTGTCGGCAGCCCCGGTAAACCTCGTCCCATTTAAATCGCGGCTTCATTTGACTTTTCCTATGTGTCTAATCTACATGCCTCTGACGACAGAGGCATGTAGTCTAGACACAGCCTTTCATTCCAGCCAGACTCTAAACTGAGGTGTGGCCTATAATGTTTATTGGATACCTTATCACCTTCGAGGTTGGTATGGAGTGAACTTCCCATCATGACTGAGAAACACAAGAGCCCAGCCCTGGTAGAGGAGCTAGGGTTGAGTCACTGCTCCTCTTTTCCCCACAGACAACCAGGCTGTATCTACACTGGTGCGATCTTGCGCCAAAGCGGCCGCTCTTGCGCAAAAACTTGCTGCCTATCTACACTGGCCGTGTGTTCTTGCGCAAGTAAACTGACGTTCTACTGTATAAAACGCAAGAACTATGATGCTCCCACTCAGGAATAAGCCCTCTTGCGCAACTGTTCTTGCACAAGAGGCCAGTGTAGACAGGCAACATGAATTTCTTGTGCAAGAAAGCCCTATGGTTAAAATAGCCATCAGAGCTTTCTTGCACAAGAGAGCATCTACACTGGCATGGATGCTCTTGCACAAAAGCACATCTCTTGTGCAAAAGCACATCCCAGTGTAGATGCTCTCTTCTGGAAGAGTTTTTGCACAAGAATTCTTCTGCAAAAGAGTTTTTG